AGATTTAAAAAGTTCCAATTATGGGCCAAAAATTTATAAACCCCCCTCCCCTTGTTTCAAACCTAATTTACATCATTAATTGAATTCTGTTGTTTAATTTCAGACTGGTAATGAATTACGAATATGAAATACATGTACCTATAAGATCGAGGCCCATGGGTCACATGTTCACTTGAGAATATTATGCTCAATTTGATGAATACATGGAGGCCCTATTATGTAAATTATTGAATTATATTGACTTTTTCCTTGGTAAAGCCCAATTTTAGAGGAGTGTGCATTTAGAGGCAAACACCTTAGTGCGGGCATTACTGTCTCATGACAGCATCTAGTTAATTTTTTTGTGAGTAAGATAAGATAAATTTTAGGGACAATATGTTTTCGGTATGTATAGTTATTGTTTTAAATAATGTACAACCTTATTAATACAAGTATACAATCAATCATTAACAGTATTACAGTTAATATGTGACAATATATTACTTCTGGAAGAAAGAAAAAGGGGGGTCCCTTTAGTGTAGAGCTCATACCACGAAAAGTAATGCGTCAACATATAATTTTTTTAAGTTTATTATTTTTTTTAAAATATTATTTAGTAAAAATAATGCAAATTTACAAAGTTTAAGTCCATAATTTTTTTTAAATGACCAAGATTGTCCTGTGAAGCATATTTTCTCACATTAAATTTTGATACAATAGCCTAACAAAGTGCATCTTTTTATAATAATTCATGCAAAACAATGATATTTTATTGTTTAAAAACATGTTTCTACTCTATTTTGGGTATTAAAGTTGAATATTTAGACTTAAATTAATTTATATACAACAAAATCTAGGATAGGTAAAATTTCAGTATTTTACATTTCGGGTATATACTCCGATAGGCTATAGCGGAAAAGTGAACATGTTGACATATAATTTTTCTTGTGTCTATCCATTGCTGCAATGTATGTCTACATGTATCTTATAAAAGCAGATTTTTAAAGATTGAGCCCATTTAGTGCCGAGTATAGAACTACCTTAATTATAGCTTGCATTTGCTGACAAGGTCTTTGTATCGACCATAGAACTTACGAAATGATGAATTTAAACTAGACTCTTGATATTCTTGTTTCATCAACTTCCTTGTCAATAATTTACCTCGTTTAAGGAATTGTTCGTACGTAGAGCATGTTTTTGGTAAAATTTTGGTACGTATAAATAGCTTTACCTTGACAATAACTTTTGAACAATAAGGACCATGGCTTTCGTACTTCACACGTGTAATCCATGCGAAAAGACCTTTCATTGGATACCAAACACATTGACCTTTTGACCTTGACCTTTTAGATTGAACTTTTCTATAAAAACTTTAACCTTGGTCACAACTTTTGAACGGTAGAGACTAGGATACTAAAGACTAGCCATACGGGGTCATCAGTGTTTCACAGACACATCTTGTTCCTTATATTGAGAAGAGATAGGGCTTTCATATTTGACATGATAATTCCGAGCATGCTATGCTTTCTTACCCCTTGACATTGACCTTCACGATTGACTTTATCTTAAAAAAATGAACTTCAATGATAATTTTAAAATAAATGACATATGATAGGATGTTGATATTATACACAATATGTCATAAAAAATAACATCTAATCGACAAAGACACCGAAAGCAGGGGACCACAATTCTTCGAATTTGCATGTCTATCTTGGTTCTAAACCGATTTTACTGTTGCACTAGTGGATTGATTGATTGATTGTATATTGTTTAACGTCCCTCTTGAGAATTTTTCACTGATATGGAGACGTCACCGATGCCGGTGAAGGGCTTCAAATTTAGACCTATACTCGGCACTCAGGGCCATTGAGCAGTGAGGGTTCTTTATCGGTTGCACTAGTGGACACATAGGGATTGCAATTTCTTTTTTCTTTGATGTTTTTGATATTTGAATGTTCAATAGTGGTAAACATATGGTGACGTCATTGAAATATGTTTAGCGTGCTAAGCATCATATTACGGGAGGTGTCTGCGAAGAGAAGATAAGTTTATTGAATCTAATGTAAAGCTGTAGGTCTGCGTTTGCTTTCCTCTTTTTGATATCGCACAACTTCTTCCGTATGCATGATTATTATACTTTAATTTGTTGATATACTTTAATTTTGACTTTCAATATAGTACTACCAAATGCACAACCCTAAACCCACCTTCAAGGAGCAAGTAACTTTACAGTTTCGAATGCAATATGCAGGCGATTTTCATTGCTCTTATTTCCCATTGAATCGGTGAAGCCAGTAAATTTGTCATTCTTACACAAATAACTGATTGTAAGGAATACGATTATCTTTTTATACGTTTCATTCGTTTATCCAGTAGTCTTGAAAAGCAAGCGTACAATACTGTAGTTGACTGAAATCAGCAAATAAGACAGAAATTCTGTTCTACTACCAGTTAAAACCCATTTAACGTCACTAAATACTAATCTGGTTAACTCTGAAAGCTAAAAAAACAAAACAAATTATACAACCAGAAAGTCGTTCTTTGTTTTCAAAAATTTCCAAAGAGACATTTTGTCATGCATGTACTTAGTAAATGAGTTTCTTTGTTATTCTAAAATGTTTTTGCTTTTTTACGTACTTAATCAGATTTTTGTCCCAAGGAAGCAAATAGTGAAAACCAATATCTTGACAACAACTTGATAAGTATGACGGACTTTGCTGGACAAGTGGCGTACTACGCATGTCACCAGGTATATCTGTCAAGGAGGGCGTTCTACATCGTGGTGGTCGACATGTCCAAGAAGCTGAAGGAAGAATGTCGATTGCATGACACAGATCGTCACAACCCAACAGGTTCCTTATTTCATTCCTGGACATACAGAGGTGAATATTACTTTAACAAACAAGTTAAGGACAGATGATACAAACAAAATATGGATGCCTTGATTGGTATATATTTTTGGCCTAATTTCATTGCAAATGATGCAAATAATAAATTTTAGATAAAAAGGGATTGTAAACCCTCTGCAATGTTCAAAAGTCTATCTTTTTGAATGCATCCTCATTAATCTCTACAAATATTTTACATTTCAAATTCCATGTCTGTGTAAATCTGATTGATGAATGAAAAGCAGCACGGTTAAAATTGTTCATTTTACTCATTTAAACATGACTCAAGTTGTTATTTTTAGTTTTATTGACAAAAATATGTTTGTTTCCTTTGTCCTTAAGGGGCTGGGTTGTTATGGCAATATTAAGCATATATATTGATCTTCATTAGAATAAAAGCTCCAAACAAAGATATACAAAAGTGATAAAGTTTTTAAACAACATGTACAATGTATTAAATTTTTCTCTTGTCAAATCTTAAAAAAAATAAGTTAAATCAGGTTTTTCTGTTGACATGCAGCCTCCTTAAATAAAATATTATTTTCATATATTAAAAAAATCCTTTTCAAAAAGCTTTTTGTATTTTTTGTATTTGAATAATATTACAGAGGGTATTTGCAGGAAATTTTGCAAATGTATTATATTGTACAGATCTACAAATGTATTATGTTGAACAGATCGACAAAAACATGTTATCTGTATTCCCCAATCAAAGTCAATATTAATTGCAAGAAGAATGATATATTAAGGTATCTTCCTCGATTATAATTTTTCTGAAACTTTTATATTTTGTTTTAAGATATAAAATCTGTCTTAGTATTTAATATGAAATAAATTCAACCACACATTGTCTATCCACTTAGTTGAAATGAGGCCTATCACATCCCAATAACATGGTTGAAAAAAACAACAGAGTCGACTTGTAAATGAGTTTTATTTCAAAATTTTCAATTGATTGATTGTAATAATGTTTGTTATTTGAACTCATTAATTAATAAAATTTTGGATTTCACTTAGAAACACTTTAAATTATTTTGAATGTTCCCACATGTTTCAAGCATGAAATACTACGTTGAATGATTTAAATTTGTTTAATTTATTGAACTTTAAACAATGAATTCATGTCTCCCCTAACAATCTTATACTGTCATATCTAAAAAAAAAAACAATATTAAAGAAATACAGTAAACATATTTAAAAACAAAAAATATTCATGGATAAGAAATTGATTGATTTTTTGGCATTTATTAATCTCTATTTATTTAAAGACTACTTCCATTTTTGGCTCCAAACAATAAATACATACTGCAATGATGGAATAACACAAAAAGATCCGAAAGACACAACAGAAACCAAAGAATCCACGGCGAATGTCAATTTACACCCGGTTATTATCATTGCCTCCCATAAAGACAAGCTGGTAAGAACCATACGCACTTACATGTATATCTATTATCAACGAGTATAGTTTACATTTGCATAAATTTGTCATATTCTTCACATAACGGATATTAAGATAATCATTGGTTTGGGATTGTACAATGTAACTTTAATTGCATTGTACATGTCGGAGGGTAATTCAAAGTTTCGTAAATTTTTGTTGTAACTTTTTTTATGAAAAGTTATATTATATTCAATTTTGGTATATATATTTTAACAACAGATGCGAATTATGAGAGTAAAAAATTGGAATAAATCTTCACAATTATAAAATTAATAAACATTTTGAAAAGCAAAAATTGGTTCATGGCACAGAGTCAAAAATTGACTGATTGACTAATTTCAATTTTTAATGTCTAACGCCATGCCCCGAATAGGTGATGCTGAAATGAAATAAAATGAAATTACATTTATGCCCTGTTCACACGACAAGTTTAATTTGCAGTAAATTAATGCGAAGTAAATTAATGCGAAGTTAACTAATGCGAATTAAATTGCATTGACACGACAGCTAATGCGAAGTAAACTAATGCGAATTAAAATTTTACTTTGACAGGCAGGCGTGAGGAAGGCTAATGTGACGTCATTTGCAAATCACGTCACCTTATGCTGAAGCAGATGCATTTGACATAATGTTACAGTGTCTGGAGACATATTTTAGTGATTAACACATTTTTCCTTAGTTTTTCACTTAAAAATAGCACAAGTACTTTAATTTCACCATAGACATGACGCATTTGACTGAATTTTGCCATTACGCATGCCCCAAAATTTAATTCGAATTAGCTTCGCTTAGCGTTCACACAGAGCTAATGCGAAGTAATTTAATGCGCAGTAAACTAATGCGAAGTAAACTAATTCGCATTAAATTCTCCGTGTGAACGCAAAGCGAAGCTAATTCGCAGTAAACTTACGTTTAATTCGAATTAAACTCTCCGTGTGAACAGGGCATTACATGTTAAAATTAAGTCTTGTTGTATGAATTAAGATGATATAAGGTAATGTCATACAACGCCTCATTTAAAAGATACCAAATTCTTTACACATATAGATTTGTTTAAAAACGGTTGATATCATGATGTTGGAGGACGTCACGGTACCCCTAGTAGCAATAAAATTGAGTTTTGCATTCAAGAAACCTCCAAGACAAACTTTAAAACGTTGTATAGACAAGGAAATATGTCAAAAATAACAATGTGTTTGTATAAAAATGTATAAAATAGAAAATGCAATATTTTTGAGTGAGAGAGACTTGGGATCAGATCATTGGATTTTCTGCAAAGAAACACTTCACTGTTAGAAATCTTATCAAAATAGTTTGTATCACAATGGAAGGAGATGTGTTTTGAATTTTATATTTAATATTGGTTTGGTGTTTAGTGAACGGTTTGTTAAAGTTTTTCCTTGTACCTTCGCAGGGAGGGATTTTGCAAAAATCGGATGCATTTTACGGCCAATTAGAAGCGAGTTTGTCTGAAGAACAAAGCTTGAAAAGACTTATATCACCATACCGATATTTTGAAGTAGAATGTCCGCCAAAAGTATTGAGTCCAGAACAGCAAATGTCAATTGATCGTGTAAAGAAGTGTATCGTAGAAACTGTACAAAAGCTACCACATTGGGGTGAAGAAGTTCCCTTGAAATGGTTTGAACTTGAAAAAAGTCTTAACCAGAAGAAAGCAAATGGAGAAAAAGTCTTGAAGTGGTCAGAATTGAAAGAAGCGGCAAAATTGTTTTCAATAGACGAAGATGACCTCAATGATGTTCTTCGTTTCTTACATGAAATAGGAAAAGTCTTATACTTTTCTGCAGATAAACTAAAGGATACCATTATCATTGATGTTCAGTGGTTTGTTGATGCATTCAAATACATCATAACCGACGAAAAGCATTTTGCACGGAAAGACGGCAGCAACACACAAGTGAATACCGGAAAAATTCCTGGGCGGTACATTGAAAAAGTATGGGAAAGTATCAAAGACGATCAAGATGTCAATAAATTTGACATTAATGTTAATGGGAAAACTGAAAAACATCATGATTTCTTATCGCTATCTTATTTAAATCATAAAGATGACATTCTACAATACATGGACAAACTTGGTTTGATGACAAGAATTGAAGCTCAGGTTGGCCATGGTGATGAGGAAGAGATGTATTACATTCCGAGTATGAACAGAACCGACCTTCCTGAGACCAAAAAAATTGCAATCAACAAAACACAAAAATCACCCATGATGGTGTACTTTTTCAAGTCTTATTTACCCCATTTTTTCTTCTTTCGATTGGTAGTAAATTGTTTAAATAAATGGGAAGTTTTTGATAAAGAGTCCTTTTTTAAAAATGCTGCATTTTACAAAGCAGAAGAAGCTGGACATTGTTTTGCCATCGCCGTCAACAACACATCTGTCCAACTACAAGTTTTTACGTGTGACGAAACGTTGAACGAAAAATGCGTCAAGAATGTTAGGAATACAGTAGAGGATATGATCAAGGACATTACAAAAACCTTTCATAAGGGAATTATATACGATATGGGTTTTTCATGCCAGGACATTACAATCGCAGATGAAGATGAAAAATTCTTTTTGAAAGAGTCTGAAATCAGCCAGAAAGTAAGGACTTCCAAGGAAATGTCGTGCCCAAGACATTTTCTTGGGACAAGCAAACACACAATTGATACAAATAAAATACGTATGTGTTTGTTAGAGAGGAATTCCACCTTGTATTCAAAAGACAATTAGAACGCATTTAACACAGCTGAAATAATTTTGCTTCTGTACATAAAACGCTATTTCTCAAGTGAAAAGAAGGTAGAGAAAATACACGAGTAAATTATATTAAGGATATTTTAGCATAATATTTGAATTACACAGAGACGAATTTTTTTTTCTAATGTACGAGTATTATTGAGGCATCGGATACTTTCATATGAACGAGTTTTAAAATATTTATATAACTGTTTAGGCGCCACAACATCTTTGCGTGCATTTGTTAAAGGTTGATTTATTACAAAAAGTTTCTCTTAGGTGATTTGTGATGTAATGTAAGTTTTAATCTCGGAATTGGCAAGGGCATACTTTATGTATATTATTTTCTTACCGGCAAATAACTCTTAATTTTGAACTGGTCATTATTAAAATATATCATAAATCACAGACAACTTAAAATTAAATATCTTTTGCAAATACATAAATTGAATATTAAATTATCCAAAAAATGCTGATGTGACAACATTAACGTTTGTTTGATCAACACATAAAACTGTAAAGGATTTTTATGAAAAAGTATTAAAAACATTCTTTTTATTGTATTAATACATCTCCAAAACATGTTTCAAAAATGTCCTTCATATGTAAATCTGAATTCTATCCTTTTTCAAATCTATCTACAAAGATCTTGAAGTTAAAAGATACATTGTTGTGTAATGATTATATATATATATTCTTAAGTCAATTTATACGTGTTTGCTTCTATATTATCTTAAACGGAAATGTGTACTGTTCAATATTTTATTGATACATGCAACTTGACACCTGCAATGGGTGATATGTTTTTATACACATGTAATATTCCTTTTATGCAAGTATGTAAACTTCAATATTTTTATTTAATATTCTATATTTTGTACATGTATATATACCGGTATGTAATCTCATTATCATAACAAAAATTGCATAAAAATAAAAATATAACAGAAATTTGTGTGAGAGGACATTCACTTCCTAGTATCATAACAAGAACAACTTAAAAATAGAAACAAATTAGTGTGAGAGAAACAAGAGGATACGAGGGGATCGATATTTCCTAGTATCAGATAAAGATCAAAGATGCTGAGTGAACCTATCACCTGAGAAATGCAGTGAGCGTGTTTGCATGAGGGTGATGAAACTTGATTTCGTCAGGTCATTTTTGGTCATAGGGAATCCTACGTAACAGGCGATAGGTCAACCATTGGAATAAATTATCAACAAAATGATAAAAAGTTAAGATATTGCAAAAAGTTTAATATGAATCTTAAACGGTATTTCATAAGTTAAAAGGATAAAGAGGACCTGGTACAGAAGTGTAAGTAAAACTTCAAGTCGCAAATTGATGTTTGTAGTTGAAAATTTTGATAAAATAACAAATATGGTCAGGGCGGAGCTCTTACACAGGAGTAGTATAAATGCGACGGGGAAAGATTTCTCGTCAGAGAAATTCCAACGAGTTGTCTTCTCTGTTGTATTTATACAGGTAAGAGATTTTTACAAGTTTTGGTAAATAATTTTAATAAAAGCTAAGTTTCAGATTGTTAAGCTTCAGTTGGCTCATTTTCTTTACAGGAAAAGATATTTTATAATGTTTAATATTTCTTGTACTATTTTTTGTGTCGAATGAAGTTGTTTAAAATATGAAATGGATTGTAAAAATAAAGAGAAATTCCGACGAGTTGTCTTCTCTGTTGTATTTATACAGGTAAACCAGTTTCCAAGAGGGGTGAAATAAGAGCTTTCGTAAATAATTGGTCACTGGTCAACAGAAGAGTAAAAGAATTGTTCAGTTGGTTTACCTAACACTGCGGAATTAAATAAGATCCTGGTGGATAACAAACATATATATATGATCGGCCCAATGTCATTTGGGGCTCTGCCTTACTAAACCTTTGCTGGTTGGGAAATAACAAAAATTAAGGCTGGAGTCCAGAATGAGGTTGACCCGGTTATGATATTATAATGATAAAAATTTAATAGAATATTACTAAGGAATATAAAATCCCATTTATATATTTTGTGTTTGTTGTTACACAGCGGCGGGTCATTGTAATTTATAAACAAAATAGCGTAATGGCAGTACACATTTGCAACATACGGATCTGGAAGAAAATAACGATATCCGGATTACAAAATTAACTTAAAACTTGTTCATGAATCTTACTTATATTCTATGGCAATCCACTTTGATCGAATTATCTTGTTTATTCGCCGTGAAAGTGATGCATTAAGGTTTCTAAAATAATTAATGGGGATGGTGGTCCATATTCTCCGAATTTTAGTTCGAGGTCAGCTGTTATTCTTATGTTTGTACGTTCATTTTTATTTAAAGCTGACATGAATTCTTAAAAACGCAACATTTTCATCAATGTACGACTTGTTTCATACCAACGATAGCCGTATTCCGCCATATTTCTCTCAGATACCTTGTCCCATTGTAACGATGTATACCCCAATGCGCTCGTTACACTTGAATGATTTTTTGGTTTGGGTATCGACTTGTGCACATCTCCGATGGTAAAGCATACATGAGAACACATAAGGAAATCAAGACATTTCAAAACCACAATAGACAAAATAATAATCATATTTCTGAATAATTATTGATTTGAATCAAAAGAAAAAATGCAAGTTTGGTGAGAAATTTAGATGAACGAGTACGTATTTTTACAGTGCGCCAATTTATGCAGAATAAACTTGAAATAAAAAGCAGTAAAATCTGCAACACATTTTGAAATTATTATCATTTGAATGGCGCAAAACAACCAACGTCTTTGATTTGCAGACACTATGCAATTGGTGCATATCGAGAAAACGCCTCGAACGCTGTAAAAATACCCATACCTGGTAATAAGGTTACAGCATCGGTTCGAAGATGTGTACAAGTGAAGTGAAATACACCCTGAATTCCATTTACTGAAATATGCATCACAAAAAAGAAATAAACTCCGTAAAAGCTCAATAGTAAACGCACTGTCATTACTCCGTACATACAAGCACGTCGATACACCTAGTCCGTGCTTATCAGATTTTGGTCAGGGAAAATATCACAAGTGGAAAGAGAAGTTATTTGGTATTTGCGCGGCTGAAGAGGGGGGGGGGGTTATAACTGATGTTCATAAGCTATAATTGTGAATTGTGTATCTACATGTAGTTCTAATATACATTATTTACAAAGTCATGTATATAGTCTGCAGTTGGTTTGCGTCGCAAAATTCATTTGTCAATTATAACTGATATTTGTAGTACTAATTTCAAATCTAGTAATTTGATGTACGGCAATTATTTACTTCAAATCTTAAAAGCAATTAACCAGAATAATTTTTTTATGTGTACATAGTTCTTTACGTTCTTTAACACACAAACACACGAAGAAATGCCATCCCCTGTTCAGATTAACATTTAGGCATTTGATTTTTTAGGCGGGGGGGGGGGTGAAAAATAATTGACATGACCGTTACATAAATATTCTTGGAAGACGGACATCTCTGCCAAATTCAATTTTGAAAATTTTATTTTAAATGTGTCACTCCGACCACAATGTATGTGCATTTTGAGGTATGTATAAATGTTTTATAAATATGGTGTTATAGAGAGGCTTTCGAGATTTCAGTATCCCTGCCTGATAGTCTAGCTACTTTTTTTATATTTAAAAATAATTTCTGTAGGAGTATTTAGGAGATAATTCTAAAAGCTAAGGTAGGGAGTCTTGACACTGGTTGAATACGGATAATTTTTATTTACTAATTGTATATTGAACTAACTCTCTCTTTTTCTCTCTCTCCCCCTCTCTCTCTCACTCTGTAACCATCTCTTAGGGCAATAATAGGTATAAGATCATACGCACTTTGTGCTGTCCATTTATTAAGCCTTAGGACAGATCAAGGGTTTTTTTCACGCGGGATTTCGAAACTTCATAAATTGAAAAAATAATTTTAATTTGAACGAGAAGTTAATCCGAACGGCCAAATTGAAAGAGAAACTAGAGGTATTGTGAGAAATGAGCTCACTAAATGATACCCTCGCCGCCCATATGGTTATAATGGCAAAGTACAAAAAGTTGTAATTGATGGCTTTTCATCAAACCATGAGACAGTAAATGCTGGTGTTCCCCAGGGTTCTGTTTTGGGACCTTTTCTCTTTCTCCTATACATAAATGATATTTGTGATGATTTAGCAAACAATATACGTCTTTTTGCGGATGACACCTCTTTATATGCTATTATAGAAAAAGAAGCCACAAACGTAGCACAGTCGCTTACAAGTGATCTAGACCTAATTGATAAATGGTCAAAAAAAAAATGGCTTGTTGACTTTAATCCAAACAAAACTGTAAATGTTGATTTTACCCGCAAAAATATAAAATATCCGCCTATTACATTTGGTCATCATGGCCCATCCATTATTCAAAATGCATCTCATATCCACCTAGGATTACATTTTCAAAGTGATGCTACCTGGACTTCGCATATACAATTAATTCATGAAAAAGCTACAAAACGACTAAATATCCTCAGAATGCTTAAGTATAAGATGAAAAGAAAAACACTTATTAAGATATATTTTGCATTTATTAGACCTGTTTTAGAATATTCTGATGTTGTTTGGGACAATTGTTCTGAAAAAGATGCAAAACTTTTAGAAGATATCCAAGTTGAAGCAGGTAGAATTATTACTGGATTAAGATCAAATTCCTCTAGATCAAAATTGTATGATGAATTAGGGTGGGATCTTTTACAAACTAGGAGGAATATTCATAAATTGCTACTATTATATAAAATCATAAATGGCTATTCACCTAAATATTTAACGGACTTGATTGAACCTTTTCGTCCTACAAACCACCCCTATAATCTTAGAAATAATGATGCAGAATTCAAAATTCCTTCTATTAGAACTACATCATATATGGAAAGTTTCTTCCCATCAAGTATTAAATTATGGAATGATTTGCCTGATTATATCAGAAATGCCCCTGGAATATCTTCATTTAAAAGTCTTTTAAATTCTTATTATTGTAAAAAGGGTAAAGAAATTTATCATTTTGGAATAAGAAAGTACAATATAATACATTGCCAATTGCAAAATAATGCATGTAATTTAAAGGCAGACTTATATAACCAATTTTTATCAGAAACACCAATGTGTGAATACTGTATTGACTCTATTGAAGATGCTTATCATTATTTTTTTACTTGTCCAAAATATAACTCTCCAAGAAATGTACTTTTCCAAACAATTAAAAATATAATTGATTGTGATCAAACTCATGAACTTGATTTACTTTTGTATGGTAGTCCCAATCATGGACTAAATATTAATACTCAGATATTTGAAGCAGTACATGCTTTCATCGCAGCAACCAAACGTTTTATTTGATTGTAATGTATCTTACTCATGC